CAGAAGGTGTCCGACTACCTGGCGAAGCAGCAGCAGGCGGCGGGAATCACCGCCCAGACGGCGGCCTACTACGCCGCCTTCGAGGAGCTGTACACGAAGAAGCTCTGGCACCAGTTGACGCTGAAGTTGCTCGCCTTCATCGCCGAGGAGCGGCCGGCCAACCTGGTGGAGCTCTACGAGAACTTCATCGTCGACTTTGAGTCGCGCATCAAGCACCTCTCCCTGGTGGAGATCGCCTCCAATGTGGTGGCGCAGATTCCCGCCACCGAGGAGAAGCTCAAGTTCATCGAGAAGATCAAGGGTAGGAGTGTCAGGGGGCGTTCGGGATTTCTCTCTGGCCATCTCTAACTAACCTCCTTTCTTTCACTTTTTTACAACAGAAAAAGTCAAGAACGACGTCCTCTCGGAGATCCTCTGCAACATCCTCACCGGGCAGCTGAAGCTGGCCTCGGGCGACCTGAAGGGCGCCAAGGAGATCATCGAGACCACCGACGCGATGATCGACACCGAAAGCATGGGCGTCAGCAATGTGCACGCCCGCTTCTACCAGCTCGCCAGCGAGTACTACCAGAAGGCGGGCAGCCACGCCGACTACTACCGCAACGCCCTCCGCTTCCTCGGCTGCTGCGGCACCGCCGGCATCGACGTGACCGAGTCGGAGGAGGCGCTGGCCGGCCGCGCCTTCACCCTCGCCCTCGCCGCCATCCTCGGCGAGGACGTCTACAACTTCGGCGAGCTGCTGCTCCATCCGATCGTCACGAAGATGCGCCCGGAGCACGCCTACATGCGCGACCTCCTCTTCGCCTTCAACCGCGGCGACATTGCCGCCTTCGAGGCGCTGAAGCCCGCCTGGTCGGCGCAAACGGACCTGGCCGCCCACGAGATTGACATGCGCAAGAAGATCAGCCTCCTCTGTCTGATGGAGATGGCCTTCAAGGCGCCCAACGGCCTGCTGACCTTCGCGGAGATCGCCCAGGCCACCCGACTGCCGGTGGGCGACGTGGAGCTGCTGGTGATGAAGGCGCTCTCGAAGAACCTCGTCCGCGGCAGCATCGACGAGGTGGCCGCCACGGTGCGCATCAGCTGGGTGCAGCCGCGCGTCCTCAACAAGGAGCAGATTCGCGGCATGAAGGTCCGCCTGGAGGACTGGATCCACGACGTGAACGGTTTCTCCGCCAAGCTGGAGAGTCGTGCTCAGGAGATTATTGCCTAGAAGAAGGAGGAGAAAGAAGGACGACCACTATCTCCAGCCATCTTCTAAACTCATTGCTCTGTCTTGTAATACTATTCGCCTACTACTACTACTGCTATTCCCCTCCCTTTATTACCCGAACCAGCCAAGGTGATCCTTCTTTTTCACATTTACACATTTCAATTGATTAAAGTCGCTTGAAGTCGGTTCAACGCTTGGTTTTGTCACTGAAAGAGAGAGAGAGAGAGAGAGAGAGA